TGTGGAAAGTCAAGAATATACTCAAAAAATTCGCTGAAATTAGAGGCTGAAATTACCAGGAAAAAACCGGTACGTGCGACCGTAAATTGGTGCATCCCGTAGCCGGAACCGAGCGCAGATTTGACCCCATAATATGGGTTGGTGCTTGTTTGCCCAAATAGCCAGAATGCCCTGCCAGGCCGCCGGGGTCAAAAGTGTGCCCCGTATTCCGGGAATGGGCTACAGGCATAGAATGCCGATTGGCTCTCGTGCTTTCTCTCTCACACTCTCTCGCTCCTCTCTCCCTCTCTCTCTCTCTCTCTCTCTCTCTCTCTCTGCATCTCTTGACCTTATCGTCCTCGTTGGTCACTTCAAAGGCCGGCCCGGAGGGGCACCGTGAGAACGCACACTTGCTAATCGGCGCGTCAAAACGGTTAATTTGCATAAATGTGTCGGTCACCTTGATCTGGCCAAAGTTTGTCGGCGGGCAAGTTTTGGCGCACTAGAATGGTGAGGGGACGGTCATCAGCTGTGAACTTACCCGAAAGTCTAAGTTATCCTGGACTTAGGCTTCGGCTTAGGTTAAGCTTAGGCTTAGGCTTAGGCTTAGGCTTAGGCTTAGGCTTAGGCCTAACAGCAAAGCGCTTTAGGATTCCGGCGGCGCAGGCGTCCTTTTCCAAGATACCTAGAGTGCAAAACTTTCACCGTGGCAATAAAAACTTTCCAAAAACTTCCACCCCCTGCTGTCAAATTGTTATGGGCAATTACAGCCCCGGTCCGATTGACAGCCATCCCATTTATCAGTGCAGAATGGGCGAAACTATGAGCGCTGACTCGGCTCAGCCGCTGTTTGCCCTTTTTCCCGGGTGGTTGCGCCGAATTTATGGGCCGCCAAGTGGTTGTCGGCCCCCGGGAGTTAGCACAGGCAAAAAATAGCAAAGAGCCCCGGGAAAAAGAAGCGATTCTGGAGGGGGACTCGGGCTATTGAGTGCCAATCGAGGGGAAGATCCCGGGGATCGTCTTTTTGAGGGGATGCAGTGGATCGAGCCTGTGCACACAATCAAACAACAGACTTGGGATGATAACAAATATAAGCGATCTAGAAGATGGCTTAGGAATAAGTCTCAGACGAAGCTCCGGCCCAAGCCGACGCCTAAGTCTGACTTAGGCTTATGCCTAGGCTCACGTCTAGGCTTAGGCTTAGGGTAAGGCTTAAGCCTAGGTTATGTCTAGGCTTCGGCTTAAGCTTAGGCTTTGGCTTTGGCTTAGGCTTAGACTTAGGTTTCTTCTCAAGTTTTTTAGCTTCTAACACTAAAAATTCTATAAAAAGGTGTCAAGCGTATCTCGATGGTGCGTGGCGAGTAGTGCAGGGGTTTTGGGACATTACAAGAACCAGCCGGATTATTGGGCGGAAGCTGGTGCCGGGGAGCCGGCCGCTGGCTACCCCGTCAACAACAAAAAGGGTATTAAAAAGATCGGGAAAGCTGGATTTTGTATACAATTCTTGAAAAGTGTAGATATTCGTTTAGTATTGATGCTTTTGCAAAAAAATACGTGAAGCTGAAAAAAAACAAAACGAGAATTTATTGAAAGGTAAATTTAGCTCCCAAAACTAAGCCAGACACCCACACACTACGCAAAAAGAAAAGCCGCAACGAAAAAAGGCTGAAAATCCGTTGCGGAACGTGTGAACGCCGGCAGATGACCGACGGCTTATCGCTGTCGCCGCCGCGGAATTGGGGCGCATTTGGAGGCTTTGTGGTGGGTGGGTGGCCCCGTTTATTTTTAACTATTTTGGGGTGGTCGGGACAAAAATAAGAATGGGGATGGAAAAAGGATGGGATCGGGATTATGATTTTCCGGGTCTGCATTCCTTGCATTTTCTAAAGCCGAAATGCTGTCGATCAGTCGTTTCAAAAATCGCGTGTTTCATCTCATTTTTTCAAAAACCTTATTGATATAAGATAATTTTCAGGACTAAGCCCAAGCGAAGCCTAAGTCTAAGCCCGAGCCCAAGCCTAAACTCAAGCCCAAGCCTAGACTTAAGCCCAATCGAGGACCGAAGCCGATTCTTAAGCCCAATCCTAAACCCAAGCCCAAACCTAAACCTAACTAAGCCTAGGCCTAATCCCAAATATAAGCCTAGCCCAAGGCCAAGCCGAAGCCGCGGCCTAAGCTTAAACCCAAGCCCAAGCCTTAGCCTAAGCCCAATCTTAAGCGATATTTCTAAAGCCAGCTTTCTAAAAATTTTCAAAGCCAACTTTGAAAAGCTAAGTGTTGTAGTGAAGCGAATTCAACAAATCTGCGCGAAAAGAATCCACGCGGGAGCCATCAAATCCGATTACGTCTTCCCCTTCAAATTGCCCATGGCTACCTGGGCGTCCCCAGCCGTCATTTCACTACTATTCAAGGGCTCATAAAGTCAAAAAGTGGATAGAGAGGGCAAAATTGGTCAAGACCACTTCAGCAAGGCATACTTTTTCGAAAATCACTTGCGAATAGTAATTTTTTGAAATTCTGCTTTTTAAAGCATTCGGATTTTGAAAATTCATGCTGTTTCTTATCGTCTGTGACTTTTTGGAATTGGGTTTTTGAAGTTTTGATGTGTCGAAAAAGCTATTTGCCGTTATATAATTTACCATAAAATATGCAGAGTAATGCAAAAAAAACAAGCAAAAAGGCGAAAAAAGCCTATCGAAATTGCCCTGTCCACTAATTTTGATATTTACGCTTTCACCTAAGCAAAAAAGCGCAAAAACCTCGAACGAGCAAAACCCATCCCGCGCCGCACCCTAAAAGCTAGGCGCGCGTGGCGTTTGCCCAATTCCACCTAATTCACCGGGAAGGGGCGCACCCAAATTCAGCGGGGGCCACCATCGCGGGAGCATTCAGGCGTCGGGGCGAGAATCCAATTTCCACCTACTGGCGCCTCGCATCGTCTACGATGACAAATCAGCCACGAGGGCTCTTCACACCAATCGAGAGCATGTGAAGGGTGAGATATACATCGTAGCATCCTAACAGTAGGAAAACTGATTCTTCGGTTTAGCCTTTTAAAAGCTCGCCCTAAAATAGTACAACGCGCAACTCATTTACGGTAACGCAACGCGATAATGAGCTATTCCGTTACATATTAGATATTGTATGCCGGTAAATACTGATGCTCCTCGCAGCAAGAAGCCTTCGACAAAGCTCGCTCTCCAATAGTATGGCTTTGATCAACCTATCGCGCAAAACGATCATACGGGCTGCGCAGACAAATACAAGATTTTTGTGAAGTCGTCTTACATTTGCATTATTTGTGCACCTCCCAAAGGAAATGCGTTCCAAAATTTGTTCGAGACACTCGTGGAGGTCTCGGGGTTCATGCTAACCTCAAATTTGGGTAATTAAACCGAAGCTGCGCTTCGCTCGCCGCACTTAGCATCTGCTCTGACTCCAGGTGAGCGGTTTTTGCAGAGCACCAAAGTACTGGAACAGTATAATTTCCCTAGTTCTTGATGATCTTCGCAACGACAACCTTTCTGCAAATGCTCGCCCTTCATTACTACGAAGCGTAACCGCCTTACAAATTGGCTTTCAACGAAATACGATGATTTTCACTTTCAAGCTCTCCGCAGCTACAAGCTTTTGCAAGGGCTCGCGCTGTACGAATTCGACTTATACCTTAAAGTTGCGCCAAAACCATCATACGCGCTGCGAAGAAGCAATTTTTCTGAAGTGTATGGTATTGCAATTTTTCGTTTCGATGATTTTTGCCCCGCTCTCTCGAGGGGGCTCCAAAAATTAAAGTATACTCATAATTGTTCGTGTGCACGGAAATCTTTAGTAAAAGGCGAAAGATTTTCTCGGACAAATGCACAAGAACCAGAGGTAAGGAACGGTAGGGAGGGGCGCGTACTTGTGGGATCCGAGAGGTCCAGATGGGGGGCCAGTGGGGTGGTGAGAAGAGAACACGCAATTGCATAAAAAAATTTGGTAGTGCTATTGTTACCTTAAGAAGCTACCTGTTGCAAAATTGACATAAATGAGCAGAAAATTTAAGGAAAAACGTTTTAGGAGCACTTATCAGCCTTACTACACCGCTTGTGTGCTCTATGAGTGTTCCTTGCCCCGTGACCTACTAGCCCCCCATCTGGACCTCTCTGGTCCCAGAACTACCCGCCATTCCCTCCCTTCCTCACCTCTGGTTCGTGTGCATTTGACCGAGAAAATCTTTCGCCTTTTACTAAAGATTTCCGTGCACACGAACAATTATGAGTATACACTAATTTTTGGAGCCCCCTCGAGAGAGCGGGGCAAAAATCGTGAGAGGGCGTCTTTATGAAGGCACACTGAATGCATCGTCACAGCTCTACTTTGTTCTTTCACTTGCGTTGTGTTAGTGAGATGTTCCTTACCCAAAATGATATCCCGATTGTCACAAATTTTCACCCGCTTCGGTTTCGTAATTTGCGCGGTAGTTTCTCGAGGTCAGCGACTTTCGCGCTCATTTAACCCTTAAGAATTAACCTTTTCAAACCTTGAAACCGATGCTACTCTACTAATTCAGCCACCCGCGTTTAGATGACGTCAAAAAAGGGCCGAAAAACTTGCCGACCGGATGACTTGTAGGCGTCGCCTCGAATTTGCGAAAAACCTCTTTCGGGAAGTGCAGCAAACGTCAAAACCGACAAAAAAAGTGCTCATCCGGCAACGTCATTTCCCCATAATTCTTTTATTTGAAAAAAAACACCGATTTTTAGCATGAACCAGCGAAAAAGAGAGGAACAACACGCAAACCGTAAAAAAAAGATCCCGATTGGCGATAAACACAGAACATGGAAGGCTCGGAAATTATGAAACGTTACACCGGGGATATCGATTATAGTCATTTGGGGAACCGGGGTAGGCAAAAAATGGAAATCAAGCACGGGGATTGGGGGAAATACACAGCGGGATTGGGGGAAAAGCCGGGGTAGCACAGAACTAGTGTAAAAAATTCATACAGGGCAAGGAATTTCACGCTATCAGCAAAATTACAGAAGGGTCTTGATGAATTCGATGGCGGCGGTGAACTGCGTCCACCAGTAGAGGTCGGAGCCGTTCATGTCGTGCCCGGAGAAGCTTTGCACGTATTGCACGTTGGACATCAGGGACTGCGGGTTGGCCTGAAAAATTGGGAACATTAAATTTATTAAAATCCATTTATATAAAATTCCGTGCCTCCATAAAATCTTTAGGTTTTATGCATAAAACCACCTTTTAGGTTGTCTTAAGTCCAAAAATACATTGTGAAAATTTCCAAAACTTCTAGAATTTTTAACTTTTCTTTAAAAGTCTATGAAAAAGCCAAAACCGGCAAAAAACTTTAAATTTTTGACCCGTTTTAAAATTTTAGAATAGCTTTTGATCTGGAATCAAAGCTTTGAAAACACTCAGGAAAATTATTTATATTTTATTGAACAATTTTATTACAATTGTTGTCACTAGGCCTACGCCGAAAAAATTAAAAAACTTACCGTCTATCAATACAACAGAAAATATTCGACAAAAAATTTATTCCCGTGCCACCAAAAAAAGCACGTAACTAAATCAAGACAACTAAAAGGTACTAAATAAAATTTTGAATTACCTGAATCAAAACATAGACGAGAACTGGGGTTAGATCATCGGCCGCTGCAGGGCCAGCGCCTGGCGCCAAGGCGATCAGATTCGAGATGGTGCTGCACGCTCGGACTACGCACTGAAATACACGACATTTTAGCTAAAAAATCCTATACCTGTAATTTGTCCCTGGGGCTCTTGTACGCGTTGATGATCTCGATGTCGGCTTGGGCTGAAGGCCACGGGGCTTCACCATGGAGCTCCTAAAAATAGAAAAATAAAATCATTAAAAAACGCCTAAAAAGGATAACGCCAAAAATCACAAAACACACCCTCGGGATGTGGAGCATCGGATGGTCCGGGGTGACGGTGCGGCTCAAGCGCTGCAAGGCTTTGCAGAGCACCCTAGAATCACAACAATTCAAGGAAAAGCTGAAATCGACTCACTCGTCCCTCGAGTGGTCGGCCTCGTAGTTCGGGTAGAAAGCCACATTGTAGATCCGGGCGTAGAAAAGGCGCTCGACCGTTTTGTTGGCGAATTCGAGCTGTAAACACTATAAGGTAAACCACGCCAAAGTACCATTTCCGGGAAAGCGTCACGCCACATCAGATTGTCGCGCATCCGATCCAGCATCGTGTTCAGCGTCCGCGTGAGCAGTTCGATGCGCTCGTCCTGCAGCGATCGTTGCTGGAAGTCGTGGAGCAGGCGCTTCATCGAGCTGTCGTGATTGTCCAGGTAGAAGCGGACGAGCACCTCGACGATGCACTCGCGGATCAACTCCCGGCCCCTAAAATCGATTTTAAAACCTGGAGCTTTTAAGCCCACTTTTTAACCCGATGATCGAGGCAGTCGATCTGCGACAGCAACCGTAGCAGCGTGAGTCGTGACTGCTGGAGGTAGAGCACGTAGGACGTCCGCTTCCGGTGGTCATCGCGCAGGGCACGGAGCAGCTTCCGAACGCCCTTATCGTCGAAGAAGGCGAGCACGCGGATCACCTCGCGGATATGGGCGGTGAGGACCTAAATCGAAACGGTTTCTTCTTGCATTTTCGGAGACCGATTTTTACCCCGGAAGCCGAAAAATAGCTAGCGTAAGAATATCGTAGCAAGCGCAACGCTTGAAACTAACTGAAAAAAGTGTTCCCCAATTCCAGCAGCACTTCCTCTAATTCTATTACAATACCCCCCGATAACGCCAAAGAACCCAAAACCCGAGATTTTTTCAATCTATACCTGCTCCCGGGAGTTGATGGCTTCGGCGAGCAGCACGCGGAGGAGGCGCATCAGCTGATGGCGCTCAGACAGCGCATCCACCGGCCCAACGTTGTCCCTAAAGCTACAACCAGGTGAATCGTTACGCCAAAAACACTACCTCCTCGACAAAAGCACCGGCGCTGGAAGGGTGCCGACATTGCTCAGCACATGTCGCAATTTTCGCTTGGCATCGCCAAACGCGCGGCACTGTGTCAGGTTGGTCGAGTCGTAGTAAAGCCCCTAAAAGCAAAATAATGAAGTAATCGATATTGAACCGCATTTTGAGCAGCGACAGGCTCCGCCGGGAGGTCCGAGATGTCGACCAAGACGACGGAAGGCTTTTGCTGGGATTTGTACTTGCTGAGGATCTCTTCGGGGGCAATATCGGGCACTAAAAATACCGGATATTCGTAATTTCGAAAGGCGGTGATCATTTTCGATCAATTTCCTTATAATTTTGGCTCACGCTTTTATTAAATTTGTTCTTAAGATCAAATCATTAAAGAACAAAAACAAAATTTCGAAAAAAATTGCACTGATAACTCTTTTTCCTTTGGGGTCTTTTCCTATTGGTAGCCGTATACAGCCTTTTTAAACCTTTAATTTTTCGAAATAACTCAAAAACAAGCATAAATGATTTCATGCAGATGTTCGAACTATGCTTGGAAACTCCCTAACATTTATGCAAATTCACGGGCTGGCTACTCGAGCAGGACAGCTTAGGCTCGCTGCCCCGCCGGCGCTGCGCGTCGTTGCGCCAATCACTGCTGCCCGGCAACGACCCGAGCAAGTCGTTGAACGTCGACGAGTGCGGGAACTGAAAAACGCCATTTAGAATCTACGCAAAATGGTGGTTACCTGTCGTAACGGCGTGGCATTCATCCCCTTGCGCATCTTGTCTCCAATTTTGTCGCCAACGTTCCGGAGGCCTTGAAAAATGGCCGTCTTCTTGCCGCGCAGCGCAGCACCCGAGAACGGCGAATTTCCGGAGGGGCCGGGTTTCTGGTCGGCAGGTTCGGATGTTGTTGGGGAGCCGATGGTGGCACCGGACGAGGAGGGGCGCTCTTGGGTTAAGGGTCTCGGTGGGATTCGAGGAGGTGTAGGCGTCCCCGCATTTGGTGGCCTGGGCGGAAGGGCGGGCGGCGTCTTCGAGGTGGACGCCTGGTCTGGCGGCATCGCCTGAACGTCGTCGACATCACGGAGCCTGAAAAATCGCGAATAGCGTTAACACCCGGAAAGCTAAAAACTCACAGTCCAGCGTCCGAATCGAGGTCGGAGCGCGAGAGGAACGAGCTGCCGCTACTTTGACGTCGCATGCGATCTCCCTGGCCCTGCGCGTTCATCGGCTCGGCCGGCGGATCCAGGTTCAAGTTCAGCAGGTTCTCCACCGGGACCTCGTTCGGGGCGGCGATGTTGTTCAAAACGTTGTTGCCTTGTAGCTAAATTAAACTTAGATATAATGCAGTATAAACACCATAACTGCAAGCCAAACATCGATTATTAAATTTTGAAACATGGCGAAAATTGTAGTTTCTAAATCTCACCTGCTGATTATGCTGGACCTCACGATCCACCTCACGATCACGTTCCCGCCCGTCCGCCTCGCTGTCGCTGGCCACAGCGTCGAGGCTCCACGTATCACTTCGGTCTTCGCCTCCCGGTCCGCCAGGCTGACCGCCGAGAGACCCAGAACTAAAAAAATTTCTCACCGCAATTCAATGTTTTTTTACCGCCCGGCATGCCTTCCGGCTCGATGTCCTCCAGGAGCCAGATTATCGCCAGGGGGAAGCGGGGGCAGTGGGGCCGGGCCCTCGTTGTCGGACGCGACGACGTCGGTCGACCACGAGTCGGAGAGCAACGAGCGCTGATCGTCTCCTCAAACGTAAAAATTATAGCTTTAGGCCAAATAACGTACTGTAACCACCACGACCGGACGAGTTTGGGGGCAGGCTGAATTTTCCGAATTTCTCCTCGAGCCCCTCGGCGTTCTCCTTGCGCACAGTGACCGGAAGGGGAGGCAGGGCACGGCGGGCCGGGTCATCGCGATCGCCCGCGGTCGTCGAAGCGGCAGCCAGCTCGGCCTCGTTTTCCTGGCCATCCACTTCCGGCTCTTGCTGATCGGGTTGCCCAATCTGGCTGAGTGGAGTGCCGCGTCCGCTGAGACTCGGGCTCCCCCGGCCGCTCATCGGGCCTACGTCGGAGACGTTGTCGGGCAGCGTGGACGCACCGTCCTCGTCGAGCATCAACAGCCTAAAGGAGGCCATCAAAAAAGCTTCTTTGTCTCGTACCTGTCCTCATGAGGCGGCTCCATGCTGCTGCTCAGCGAGTCCCCATCCCCGTCGCCGTCTTCGATATCGGACGCCGGCGCCTCGGTCGATTCGGAAACGGCCGAACCAACTAATTTTCAGTTTTTTTTATCGAAAAATCGACAAACTTGTGCTGGCGTTGTCCAAAAAACGGGTCCGCTTCTCCTTGTCCCCACCCGCAATCTTCTGCCGTTTCGCCTCTTTCGAGATCTTCTCCATGAACTTTTCTTCGGGTTGTAGGCCCAGTTTCTCGTCCTCGTTGAATCTATGCCGAAATTTTTCAGCAAAAAAACGGCGATTTTTACCTGAAAACGACAATGTCAAAATATTCGAGAGGCAGCTCGACGGCCGGGGTGTTGATCTCAAGGCTTGGCGGGGCTTCTCCGTCGTTTCGGAAGGCTGTTTGGACCTAAAAATAATAAAATAAATAGTATTCTCAGTAATAGTAGCAAATCATTATTGCGAATTGTTATTCCTCTATACATTTAGTTTTATTCTTTTAAATGTGTATTTCTGAAATAATAATTGTAGCAAGGAAAAATGATCCAACCTTATCCGTGAATTGTCGAATTTTATTCCGGCGCTCCGAAGGGTCGCCCTGTGAATGCGGGGTGTTGTTGTTCGTCAGCGGGGTCGAGAAGGCGGCGGGCATCCGCTTGATGTAATCCTAAAAACACGGAAATTTTCTTGATTGTAACATTCACAAAGATCTAAAAAAAATTCAAATTAGCGATTCCACAAAATCTCACCTTCATGCTCTTCAGCTTTCCCGCGTCCTTCATATTTTCCGCGGCCGTACTGCGGACGCCATTCAGCAAGCAGTTCACCTAAATTCAATGTTTTGTTGGCAAAAAAACCCTCGACAAACCTCGAAAAGCGAGCCCAAAAAGTGCGTCTTCTTGAAGAGCTCCTCGTTCCTGTTCGACTCACACACGATCGGCGGGAACATGGCTTCAAGTCTGGGCAGTTGACGGTTCAGTAGATGCGTGACAATGTCGCAGATTTGGCTCTAAATCGATTTTTAAATGGAATTCTTAAACATTTAGAGTTTGGAGTAAAAGCCAGAGTTTTAGAAAAAATAGTATTCTGGAGCGGATTCTTACGTCCTTGAACTGCGCGGTGAAGAGTTGGAGGTGAGCCTGGGGTTGTTCATACTTGGAGAGGGCGAGCACCTGCACGAGTTGGCCCATTTGCATCAGGTTAAACCTGAAAATAGTCGTTTTCGGGAAATCGATCCTGATTTACCTCGCAATGTGCCCAATGGGTGTGTCGCTGATCACGCCGAGGCTTTCCGGGTTGGTGATAGCGGGGCAGAGGAGATTTGTGACGACGAGGTCCGTACAGATTAGCAACGCCTGAAATCAAAATTATGATATTTCCTGAAAATCGCAATTAGAATTGCGGAATTAATTTGTCGAAAATCATTGAGAAAAATTTTAATTTGTCGAAAATCATAATTTCCAATGTCAAAAACATCATTTATTTATACAGAAACTGAGAAAAAAGTGACGCTATTATTGTCAGCTCGACAAAATGAAAATTCGCCCAACTAAATTTCGGCGAAATGACGTTTCGAAGCGCTAATTATCGACAACTTAATAAAAATTCACGATTTACAAAATTCTACCTGTTGCTCTGAAGTGCCGTTTGCCACCAACGATTGGTACATTTGCTGCACGAGCCAGGTGAGCGAAGCCGGGAAGCAGGCCAGCGAGTCGGTGATCCCTAGAGGCAATTTAATTTGGAGCTTGACCACCAAACCTTTGACGAAAGAATGGGTGAGCAGCACGAGCTTTTCGATGATGATCTTCCGGTGTTGGGCCACCTTCTTGTGATAGTGCGGGCTTTGCGGGTCGGGTCCTGCAAAAAAAAAATCAGGCTGTTGTTATCGCAATTTACCAAAACGCCGTGCCCGTTCTGCTGTGGGGAAGCGGAGCGGCGACTTGGCCGGGTCGATGTCGAGGTAGATGTCCTCTTGGCACAGCACGTTCATCACGGCGTCGTGCAGGGCTGACGTAAGAAATATCTGAAACAGCGTTCTTTGGGTTCGAAGGGAAACCTTACTTTCGCGGGGAAGAGCTTCTCCGCAAAAAGACGATAGAGCCGAGGAAACGCCGAATTCCCACGTCGCAGCAAAAGCCGCGGATCGTTGTGATGGACGACTTGTAGATCTACAAAAATCAGATGTTCAGGGAAAAGTGGAAAAGACGAACCGATCAGATTTTTCAGCACATCCATCACTAGTCGCTCGTCATCGGGGAATAGCGAATTGCTATAGACGAGCGAGTATACGGCGAAGGTCACCTGCTCGCTCGACACTTTGTCGTCCTAAAAAAAATGCTGGTTCGGAAAAGGAAACATTTCTTACAGGCGTCAACGCATCACATGCCAGCAAGAAATCGGCGGTGGCTTTCGGGTGTTTGAAAAGCAGGTTCAGCAACGATTCGTAATTTGCGGCATGGTGTTCAAGCCTAAAACACAAAATGAGTTCAATATAAGGTGAAAATCTATGTCCGTAAATAACTACATAAATAGAAGAATATAAATACATAATATTGAGCAAGAAAATAAGCTGAACGAAAGTATCAGTAAACACTCTAATAACAGAAATAAGCTACTCCAATCCCGAGTTTATTTAGAGAAAAAGAAGGCAAAAACATAAAAATCACCTCCGATAAGCCTCAACCCATGGCAGATCCGAAATTTGGCTGACCAGCTTGCAGGTGGCTTCCGGCTTCACCGACTCGTGCGAGTTGATCAGTCGATGCAGGGTCAACTAAAACAATATAATTTTTGCGCTTCTGTGAAAACCTACCTGATGCTGCTGCGAGCTCCACTCGGTCGTCCCCAGCTCGACGAGCCGGTCCGTGATCTGTTTGTGAAGTTGGACGACAGTCTCCTTCTCGCTGGACAGCAGCAACTTTTCAGACCTATCCAAGTATATTTTTGAAATTTTATTATTAAGCTACCTTAGCTTTTCGCATAGCGACCAGACGACGTCCGACTGTTCGGAAGAGGTCGAAGCCTCCATCCAAGGCGCTCGTGGCTAAAAAAATGGATCATAACGAGAAAACGCCAGGAAAGGAAACAGGATACGGAAAACACTGCAAATTGTAGCCCCGTCACCAGAAAACCGCCTGAATAATCCATGTTAGTAACTCTTTCGTTTACTTTCTTTTAGGGCTTTTCCTTACTTTTCAGTTCGGATTGGGTAAAATTCAACTCGGGGTGCGTTTCAAATGACCATTTTTTCCGTTGGAATCGATATATCTCCGGCGTTAGTGCGTTTTCGGCTAAAAAAAAACGATATTTTATCCATATAGGGTAAAGTAGAATTTTTTCTATAACACGAAACTAGCTTTGAGGGCGCATTTCATCCCCCATTACCTCTCACCGTCAAAAATGCTTATTACTGGCAAGAATACATCAACGAAAAAAATATTCTAGTGAACCTATTCACAAAGCCTGTCTACCCAGTCTTCACAATTTTTTTAATTGTCAAAATTCTCGCAAAATAATCGCGGGATTCGCCTGTTCTTTTTTTTCATCATAAAGCGCGATTTTCAATAATTTTTATCAGGAGACGACAACGAAAAATGGAGTACAGGGCACACAATACGTATCCGGATGAACGGGAACAACAACGGGTGGAGGACGGCTAAAGAATTTGAGAATTGGTGGCTTTTTTTGGAGAGACCCATGAGTTTCGGGAGAGAAATTGTTGTTTATTTTAGAGACCGTATAAAGCGAAGTAACGCACGTAAAGGGGGAATATATTTCGACATTTTGAAGAGAGTGGAGGCTGAGGGCGGGGGTGAAAATAAATTAGACGCTTGAAGAAGAGTGGGCGGGGGTCGAATGGAATGAAATGTTGCGGGATGGCATCGATCAACGGCGGTCCCGTCGATGATCATCACGGCCGCCGCGGTCGTCGCTGAAAATAAACAAATTTGTGGGGGGGCATCGAGTTACAACAACTATCAATCCAAAATTTTCAATTTTTGGTACTTATCAAGTTGGGGGGGGGGCCACTTTGGGTACCTGTTAGGAGACACTTTTTTAATCGGTTTTTCGACTCTTTCTGGGGTAGTTTTTTACGCTTTAGTGCGAATAGAGTCGCAACAGCATGCGAAACGGTTGGGTTTATCCAGAAAAACAGTGTAAAAATTATTAATAAAGGTGTACTTATGCACAATTTGGGGCTTGCCTTGTCTAGTTTTTGTCAGGCAAGGCGGGCCGTCGCTTCGGATGGGCTGCCGCTCCACTCTTTCGAAATCGGGGCGCCTGGCCGCTTCGCGCGCCTCGGGCGCCCCGATTTCGAAACCCTGTACGAGCTCGCACCCATCCGAAGCGACTAGGCCCCCGGTGGCACGAAGCCTTATTTTTAGGCTCAAATTGGGTGTAAGCATCTCTAAATCTTAAAATCGTTTAGATTATTGTGTTTTACTACTCTGATTTTGTTATATTCGGAACCAGCACAAAAAACTAGCCTAGAAAGACTCAAAAAGTCGAAAACCAAAGTGGCCCCCCCCCCCAACTTGATAAGTGCCCAATTTTTTTTGAGAGAAAATTGCAATTTTCAAAAGCGGATCTTTTTTTTGAACTATCAGGGCAACTATTTTTTTCTATGAGCGCAGCTCTGTCTAGCAATGTAACAGAGACCAAAGAAAAGATAAAACAAAAAACTTCAGAAACCCGCTGATAAATTAAATTTGGATGAAAATTTTGCCCGTTTCTGCAGAAACCTAGAATTTTTTCCAATATTTTGGGTACAGATTTGCGCAGCAAAGTAATAACAACGAATTCAACAGTTAGCTTGAAAACAGCTAAAATCTTGAAAAAACGCCGAAAATTTGAAATCCGGGCAAAAACATCGCTAAGGTTTGGTAGGCTTATTTCTAATTTTTCCTGAAACTTCTAAAGTTCAAATTTCTTGATCACTGACCCTCCGTGTCGACCGCCGCCTCCATAGCCGCCACCGCCGCCGTAGCCACCTCCACGACCGCCACCACCTCCGTAGCCGCCGCCGCCATATCCGTAGCTACCGTGTCGATCACCGCCACGATCTCCACCTCGGTCACCTCCTCGATCACCACCGCGGTCTCCGCCACGGTCGCCTCCCCGGTCACCGCCACGATCGCGAGAGCGGGATCGGCGTCCGCCTCCGCCACCGTTGTACCTAAAAGATAAATTACTGACTATTTCAAACGCAGAAGTAGGGCCCGGAAATAAAAAAAATTTGGTGGCTTTCAAAAAAATCAGGAAATTTCGTCGCAAAATATGATTTTCTACAACAATTTTTCATTCATTCATTGAGGCTACAATTTTCTACACCTCCACGATTTTGCGAAACAACCAAAAACAACAAAAAATTCTCACCTATCAAAAGAAGGGCGGCCTCCGCTCCCGGATCGGACGTCCCGGTCCTCAAACCGACCGCTTCGAGACAAGAGTTCGGCCTTCGACTCGCGGGTCTTCCTCGTGTCCCCTTTGCCTCCGCCGAGTCGCCGTGGCAGCCAGCTCTTCTGCGTTCGGCCCCGCTCGTAGTCGACGGCCACACGACGCCCATCAATCTTCATACCATCACCCTTTTTATAGGCGGCTAAATAGGTTAGGCTTAGAAAAGGTTTAGAAAAGCGGAACTAACCGCGGGAAACTTACGGGGAGGCTGGGAATGGAATCGGGAACTTTACAAAGTAGCTAATTTTATTAGAATCGACTAAAACTCCCCAAGATCGACTAAAAAATAAAAAGGAGCTAAAATTTAGAACCCAGAAAAATATTTGCTATCTTTTCGCTACTGAATTTCCCCAAAAAACAGCTCACCCGAAGGCAAACTTACATCACCGGAAACACCGGGATCCGAGCGCGCGTGTTCAGCTTGTGAAACTCACCAAGCTTACCTCGTGTTTTTGGGAGCGTCAAAATCGCAAACTTACGTGTGTATATTTGGATACATACATCACGAAGAAATTTCGAATGGTTAGAAAGCAAAAACTGTTTACCCGTTCTCTCGCAAACTTACGCGCCAAGCCCGTGACACGTTTATTAGCAAAGTTCATGGTTTACAAAGTGCGAAAATGGTTAATAAGTGCCAATTTTGAGTTTGGAAAGCATGAACCTCGCCATAAACAAACCTATGCACAAATGTGGCCAAAGAGAGTGGAAAACGGATGGCCGCCCACTATAAAAAAACTAATTAGTGGGAATTCGAAAAAACGGAACCAAATTTACGCGAGGTTCAGTCGAGCGGCTGGATATCCGGCTTGGCATTGAAAGCTACATACCGTGCATGTCCTCTTTGTTTCGGTACTCGATAAAGGCGTAGCCCCGCGGTTTGCCGTTCTTGTCGTAGACCATGTTGAGGCGCTCGATGCGGCCAAATTGTTCGAACTCGCGCTTCAGCTTTGATTCGGACGTTTCATAGTTCTGCAAAAAATGTAATGAAATGAATATTCAATACGACTCACTATTCGCGAGACGAAGAGCGTTTTGTAGGGGTCATTAGTGGCGCGGTCGTTCTCCGCCGGCGTCCACAGCGCAATGCCCTGCTCGAGCTTGAAGGACATCAACTCTTGCTTTTGCTTGCGAATCCGGGCCCGCTTCTCGGCTTGGGTTTCGACGATCGGCTTCGGTGGGGTGTCGGCGGGGTCCTAAGGAAATACGGAGCTATTGATGTTTGGGGGGCATCTTTTTTTAGGGGCTTTTTCCGGCCTAAGCTTGTCTCAAAGCCTGAGCTAACCAAGCCAAGCCCAGCCTAAGCCAAGCCTAAGCCGAGACTAGGCTTAAGCCCAAGTCTAAGCTAATCCTAAGCTAGCTCTAGGCTAAGTCTAAGCTAAGGCTAGGCGAAGCCTAATGTAAGCCTACACTAAGCCTAAGCTAAGCCGAAACCAAGCGTTGGCCTAAGCTAAGCCTAAGCCTAAGCCAAGCCTAGGCATAAGCTAAGTCTCAGCCAAGCGTACGCAAAGTTAAAGCTAAGCCTAAGCCTAGACCCAGGCCGCCAAAAAAGATGCCCCCCCAAACATCAATAGCTCCGGAAATACTATTTCCGCAAAGTTAGCAACTTACCTCAAAAAGATGGACGTACTGCGCCATTCCTTGCATTTTCGGTCGCTTCTCATTTCGATCTACTAGAAGGTCATCGGGCGGTGGCCTAAAGACAAAGAATAAACAAACATAACCTCAAAATAAAAAGTAGATCTACAAAACTTACAAATACGGAAAAGGTGGCCGGGCCACGAAGAGCGCCAAGAGGTTATCTGGCAAGAATGAAGGCATGGCTTACCTGCAAAAAAACCTTTCCCATTATCTACTTTATCCTCATAAAGAGACAACTCTAAAAAAAGAAATAATTTTTTCATCAAAACTCGTTACTAATTTTCAAAACGTCGTGGATCAATCGGGTACGCCAAATTGTGGCAAGAGCACGGGTGCGGGGTGTGAAGTGTAGTGCGACGGAACGCTTCCCAGGTTCGCTCAGTTGTGCTTTGGACAAAAACGGAAGCTTTTCACTAATTTCACTAATAAAATTAATTTTATGAGTTACAAACAGCAATTTTATCGATAGTCGAGACATACAACTTGAACCTAAAGTGTTGCAGGACTTGTAAAAGCCGGAATTTCAGAAAAACAAGCAAATTTCAAAGCGTAAAATAATTTAAAATTACAGTACACTAGGATTTTTTCAAAACTAGGGCTTAGGTTTGAATTTTATGAATAAAAAAAATGCAATTCAATCAATAGCCAAGTCATACAGTTAGAACTCAAGGTGTTGCACGACCTATACAAGCCGGGAACTCACAAAAAGGCAGATGTCAACCGGCAAGAAATAAAAAGGTACAGGAACCACGGTGTTTTTCAAAAATCGGTTTTAATTTTGTTATTAGAATGTAATAGTGAGTGGAAACGCGTTACTACTACTCAGAATGGCCTTTTTAATGCCGAATTCAAGGTTTTTAAAAAGAAACTAAAAAGTTGAAGGTTCAGTAAACTAAATTCTACAAAGAACCTGATTTTATTGTAGAACCAGCGCCCAAAACCCGCTTCGCGGGCCTTGGGCGCTGGAAGTGGGCCTTTGCATGAAAAATTTGACTTTCCGATAGCTCGGGTCCTTCGGACCCCTTCCTCCACCGACCACACGCGCGTGCAAATTGCAAGAATGAGGAAATTTGTAATTTTTCAGATTATGCAAAGTACCCCCAAAAATCAATAAAAACGCTTTAACTTTGTAAGCTTGTATTTTATCGCAATTCTGAAAACGCCATCGGAAAGAGGAAGGTCGATTCCCCCGGGTGACGAAGAATTAGCGCATTTTATCCAGGGGATGCCCCTTCAATCGGGGCTTCAAAGTGACATCCACACACACACACACACAGAGATACACTCCAAAATTATATAAGGTGGGATACCGAAAGCTGTGAGTTCACGAATTGACAGCACTGATTGAGGGCGACAAACTTCAAAGTTTTTCCGCGATATCGGAAAATCGAAACACATCGGCAGATGTTTTCGGGAAAAAAGACATCTGGCGCATCCGATAACCGTGAGTAAGTGCATAAAGATGATCAATTTTTCTATTGGTGCATCCGGGTCACCGATTCTGATAAAAAAGTGGGTCAAACGGGCGGGAAAACGGTGCGTGGCCACTGTCATTTACATCAGACGAATCCATCATCCGGCGGTTCGATGGCCGGCCATGGTTCAGGTTCGGGTGTTGTTGATGATGCTGCTGCGGATATAACGGATCGGGTAAGTCGATTTGACTATAAGTAAAAATCGTATTATTGTTTTATTCTAAGAAATCAAAAATAAACTCAAAGTTTATCGGAAAAATGGTTCCTAACAATAATGCGTACAGTAAGTCATCCTCCCCGATAACGCGAAAGCGCCACATTCACCGTTCAAATCGTTATAAATTGGGTATTTTCGATATAAAAATTAGGTTTCTGCTAAATTTTTAGTAATTTGGATATGGCAATGTTGAATCAAAAATAACAAGGAAAAAGATAATAAAGAAATGCAAAACTATTGCAAATTTAGACGCTCAACACCGCGCTGGTCGCCTTCAGCCACGCCGGAAGCTGCCTGAACCCCGATTGTCGGGTCATGGATTGTCACATCTTGAAGGCGGTCTTCGTCCACTGCAGGGCAAGCTTTCGGTTTACTAGTTAAAAATGTCATAAATATAGTTAAAGTTAGCAATGATCATTTAAAAATCGGTATCACGAGCTTTTTATTACAGAAATACTGCTACGCTGTTGGCCATAACAACTGCACCATCTGCGGCGACTTCATCCTCATCTCGGGGCAACACGCGCGCAATTGCTGGGCACCGCAGTGCAGGGTGAGTCAATTTACCTAAATAACACCCATTACTACGAGCATATAACGGTAATAACAAGTATAAAAAATACATTATTGAATGGGTATATAGCGTCCATTAATCTCAAATTCAGGTCGCGTTTTGCCACCGGATGCGTCAGGATTTCGTCCAGGAGCGCCAGCAGTATCTGCACCAGGGTCGCCGCTGTGGATGAAGGTAGAAAAGCGCTGCCAAAATCATGCTAAGATAAACCTCAAATTGATCTTTTAAGTTACGTACCTGTGTTGTACCAACCGTATTGTAACGTAGCCGTTCGCTAATCATGTTCCTTGTCATAACCCTATGTTTGTGTCTTTTGTTTTCTGGTCGTTAATAAACTGTTCGTCGGATTTTTCTGCATTTTTTAAGTCTAGAAAAATCATAAAAAACTGAAACCATTAACAAGATATAAGTATGTGTACAAAAGTTAAAAATCCCTTCATTTTTGTGAAAAATGTATGAAGATGTCACAATTTTCAGTCAGCAAAACTTTCGAAAAAGTATGTGCCATTTTTTTAGTACTCAAAAACTATTAAAAACGTTATGAAGCGCTAGAAAACGCTAAGATTTTCGAGGTAGGTTTCGTTTATACACCCCCCGTTAAGAGAACAGTACCTATTTTTAGAGCGTGTTTTTTCGTGCAGAAACCAAGTTTTTTAGGGGAAAAGTGTATTCGACGATGGCATTTCAAATACACGACACACCCGATGTTGGTGGGTGCGTCAGTGGACACAAGTGGTGGTGGTGCTAGTGTGACAATTCAAAAAGAGGCATAATACGACATAAATGGTAATGACAAAAAATAATAATGGCAGTTTCGAAAAGTATACAAAAATAAGAGGTGACATGAAAAAAGGGAGCCCGGTAATGCTCTCCGGCCCGCCAAAAGGACGCCAATCTCGTTGGCGGGCCACAATTTGTCGAAACTCGTCGCTGCAACCCCCGCCACAGCGAGCGAGTTTCGGCCGCAAAATTATCGCATACGGTGTAATGGGTGGATTTGGATAGCGAGGATACGCACGTAAATTTCACGCTTTTTAGCCAAGAAAACCTCTCGAAATAACAGAGCCCGACACGCTGTCGCCGAGCCAAAAGCGACGCCAGGTGGGACGTGCGGGGCTTTGTAGTAACGAGAGGTTACCTTGACGTAAAAGGCAGAACCTAAGCGCGTAACGTCAGAAACCGCATCACCTGAGGAGAATTTGTCTCAAAAGTCTGCATAAGTTATACAAGGCATCGTACGCCGGCTTTTCTCGTAAAATGACTAGATTAGCGTGGACTAGCAAAAAGCGGAAAATTATTGCCTTCTGAAAGAGCGCTGAAGTCAAGGTGTTTACCCTAAAACGCGTTCAAACCTCAGCCCAAGCCTAATCCTAAACCTAATCAACCCAAGCTTTGAGCGGCATTGTATGAGTTTGATGCCCTCATCAATGCCCAGATGGTCTCTCAGCTCGAGCTGCTAGGCGCAGCTATTAGACAAAAATTTTGCTGGGTTTTACCTTGACTGCAGGGTCCTTTAAGAGTTACAAGAAAGAAAAGAAAGCAAAAAAGCTTGTTTCTAAATTGAAGAAAAATTAGCATGGAGGCTTGGGCGAGCATGGGATGTTGCCGCGGCACTGCTGGCTCTCCTCGGCCAGCCCCAGGCAATGGCAACCCGGCTCGCCGACGCATTGGCGGGAGCTGAAAAAAGTAGGCATTGATTGCTGTTTTCTATTTTATAAGTTACTAACAGTAACTTTTATAGAAATACCGTAGCTGGTTGCCAATCTCGCAGGCCGATTGCGTCGAGCAGTCGCTCCAGGCGCACCACTCCGTCCAGGCGCATTGCGGCTAAAAACGGTTTTTTTTGTCTAGTTTATCAAAGCCAATGCCAAGAAGAATCTATTTATCTATACGACCTGATACTAATAACGAGTCGATCTAGACAAGAATCTTATCAAAATGATTATGTTGGACTAAAATACTTTCAAAAGCTAAAACTTTACATTTTCCTAGTTTTTAGGTAGTTTTGAGCTTCAAATATAATTAAATTTTGCTATAAACACGTTTAAAATATAAACTATTACCTTATTAGGCATTTCTTGGCTCCTTGTAATGCGAAATCACCACAATAGTCTTACCTGGCAAACGTGCGTGTTGCATTCGCGAGTCTCCCGGTCCGGACCCACACACTCGCACGTGTTGTCGTTAACTAAAGTAGCGTTGATTTGTACAGCTTTTGATAATGATAAACGGCTTCTAGCATGGTTATAAAACCTACCCCCATTACGTTGACACACACGCGTGCGGAAGTTCTGGCCGGTACCGCAGTCCTTGTCGCACTGCGACCACGGACACCAGTCGGACCAGTTGCAGCACTCGCCCTCGTTGCAGAGTACGGTTTCCTAAACCGTCAATTGGTATTTTGCCAGGGCTAAAAGGCGATACTTTCCACGAACTAAACTTTAAAACACGAAGAATTACGAGATCTAGGCTTCAAAAGTCGATACATTGCGAAATCTAGACGTAAAAGGGGTAAATACGGGATACTTTCTGATGGTGAGATTTTGGAAAACGGTGAGACATTGCGCTGTATCGACGTGAAAAAAGTCATATTTTACGAGATACGGCGTAATAACCGTAATAACCGTAATAACCTTTATGAGATCTAGACGTAAAAAAAGCTGATACTTCCGAGATCTAGACGTAAAAAGAGATACTTAACGATGTCTAGGCGTAAAAAAAGCTGATACTTTACGAGATCGAGACGTTGAAAAAAAGATACTTGGCAGTGACTAATCATAAACTTTATACTTTACGCGATCTGGATGAAAAAAGGCACTTTGCTTTAGAAGATCTAGCAAAAAACTAACGTGGCTAGGTCCCATGCAATCGGTCGACTCTTGGCCGGAAGATGTCAGGCAAGCGCGGGTGCGCGAGCGTTGTCCAGCTCCGCAACGTTGGCTAAAGTAAAGGTAAGTGGTCCGGTCTTTACAAGTACGAAGCTATCAAATAAAGTTGCTGACCTGCAAGCCGACCACTCGCACCAGTCGGTCCACGACGAGCAGGGCGGCCCGTAGCAGAACATAGTCTCCTAGAATGCGAGACAATAAGTCCAAGGTTTAGTGCAGATTTACCTCAGCCGGCCCTTGGCAATCAGTTCCGTATTGGCAGACGCGAGTCCTCCGCTTCATACCGTCTCCACACGATGCGCTGCATTGACCCCACTCCTCCCAAGGGGCCCAGGTGGAGCACGGGCCGTGGTCACACGGGCGTTCCTCGTGGCGAGGTCCTGGAGGTGTATTTGGAGGTACCATTTTAATCTGTATTTTGACGCCCCGATGACCTACGGTGCTGTAAAGTGCACCAAAATGCTTGTAAGATTAAAACGAACATTCAAGTGCACCTTACAGCCCTGTTAGTCAAGGCGGAGTCGATATACAGCCCAATGTTCAACTGCCCGAACCCAACCTACCAGGGCAAGCATGATCTCCATGGGTGCCTCCAAGGCACGTGCGCTGGCGATTCTGCATTCCGTGACCGCACGACGTCGAGCAGGTCGACCAGTCCTCCCACTCGGACCACTCGGGGCACGGGCCGGCGTTGCACACCTCGATCTGAAGCTTTGCTTTAAGAGTTTTTCCCTTTTGGTGTTACCTCAAAATCGCTGCCCTCGCAGCGCTTGGTGCCCAGGAAGCAGAAGCGGGTCCTGGTGCGCTCTCCACGGCCACAGGATCCCTGAAAATTGGAGGATTCGAGGGGGTTTTGTATGGATCTAGAAATGCCTTGTAAATTAAAAGTAAATATTTTCATAATGTTTTTAATAAATTAAAACGATAGTTTTACTAGAAAAACTATCAAAAAACGTTGAAAATTTTTGAAATAGTCGAAATTTTGGTCAGGAAAACGGCCATTTTTGGTCGAAAAATCGATATTTTTGTATTTTATAATAAATGAAAAGTTTTTACGTTTAGCAACAGTCAAAAACAGTTTAGAAACACTGCCGCTAATTACATTTAAATTACATTTAAAAAACTGGCTCCCAAGAAAAATTTTTTAAGCCTACCTTGCAATCAGACCACTCGCACCACTCGGACCACGTCTGGCACGGGCCCATGTTGCACGGGGCTTGTTCTGTGTCGGGGCCCTAATATCAAGGTTTTTACCACTAAATGCGTTGCTACCTGGCAGTTATTTCCGTTGCACTCCCTCCTCCTCTGCTTGACACCATCACCACAGGTGCACGAGCACTCGCTCCACTCTGACCAGTCGTGCCATTGGCCTGAAGCGGAAATGGTGATATGACACAATGGGGTATTAGGAATATACTCCTTCTAAAACAGCGAAAAAGCGGAAAAAGATCATGCTTATCCTTTTCAGGGCCGCGCGAACGCAGCCCCTCACCCAAAAATTTAGCTGTAGGCGAACCCCAACTCGGAGCTGCCTTACAGGTCAGCCCGGCCGAGAAGTGCAATGGCCAAGCCTCGCCATAGGGGTCCCGTCTTGATGATCACGGGAACCCCCCAGCCAGGTAAGTTTATGAACGGATGGGGAAGGGAAGGTATCCACAGGGAGTGGGCCAGGTGGGGGGCGAGTGGGGATACGACGGACACGCGTTGGGGCGCCGAAATTCGTATAACAACAGCGGAGTGTTTTGCACAGGGAACATACCCATTTCTACTTTTTTTCATTTTTTTTTGCACATCGTTAAGTAAGGTATCAGGTAACTAACTAGGTAAGTAAATTCAAGTTATATGACCTACCTTGAAGTTGTTGCCTCGGCTTGCATCCGTCTCCCTTGCAGACTGGTGGTGGCGGGGCGGCCGGGCGGTAGCGCGTTGGATACGGCTGGGCCACCGGTGCCTAGAATTTTAGGGTGTTGTTAAGTTAAGCAAATAAGAGTATGTTTTCAAGCCATGAAAGCTATGAGAGCAAGAAGCTGAAAGCCGCACGATTCAGGACTTGTGAAGACGCATAAAAATCTGGTCAGGTGCCGAGCAAACGTTACAAAAATACGATTTTTTGACGGCAAGTATTTTTTGCGAAGCTAAGACGCTTTTTGGAGTGTTTTGAGCTTTTTTGTACAAAGCATTTCAGTTAGCAAAACCAGAAAAGCCACTACAACTCGATTAATCGCGATAAGCCACCTGTGTTACTGGCGCTGGCGGTGGTGGCGGGGGCGGGGGCTGCTGCTAAACGATGGGTAAGCTACCGTAACCAGGGGACTCGCTAACAAAGTCGAGAAAAAGCACCCTCGGCTTGCAACGGCCACCGGTGCAGGGCTGCGCGTTGGGTTGAGCGGGGTGTCGCATGACGCTCATCCTGGAAATGGTTCGGCTTGCTTTGCTTGCGTAGCTTGCTGGCTTTTAAGGTAGAACTAGCTTAGCTTTGCTTTGCTAAGCAGCTAGGCAGGCTTGGAAAGCTTCGAAATACTGAGGAAAAACCCGCCAATCTCTTAATGAGGCTGATAAAGCCAAGCTCACCTCTGCTGGTACTGCTGTGCGTACTGTTGCTGCTGCTGAAAAAGCAAAGTTAGGTAAGCAGCGGTTATCGATTAGTATGGAAGCTGGGGGGTAAAGCTTTAACGAATTCTACAGAGGGAGGTGGAGCTCAAACCCTTGAGCAGGACGCTTAATGAACCTCAGGATTTGGGGCCTGGAGGCCGACATTTTCGAGTTTCACGAGTGTCGGGGCGTTGTCTCCAGCAGGAGCCTAATTTTTGGGTTTTCGGGAGGGTATACAACTTTAGTTTAAGCCTAAGCCGCAGCCTAAGCCTAACATAAGCTTAATTTCGAAATTAATAAGCAAAAGCGTTTCGGATTGCACATGCTACGCTTACGTTCTGGCTGACGGCAAGCGGGGCACCCTGAAAAATCCAAGATTCGAAAAGCACTCGACCTGCTGCGCTTGCTGCTGGTGTTCCTGCAAGCGGCGCTGGTGCTCGGCTAGCTAAACCGGGCAGGCGGATTAGTACTGAAGCGGAAATGTGAGGCACGGAGATGGTCGGAATTTTCAAAAATTGAACCTGTTGCAGGTAGCGCGGGTCCTCGAGACGAGGGTCCTGGGGAGGGAGCTGAAAAAAGAAATTTAGTTTTTTTTTGGTTTTATGGGATCTTGAAGCCGGTAGATTAGTGATTTTGCGAAGCTGACAAGCTAAGCATAGGCCTAAGCCTGAGCCTAAGGCTTGGAAAAGCTAGGAAAAGCGGAAAGAAGCTTGTCAAACCTGTGGTTGTGGCGCAGCCACCGGCTGCTGCCTTTGCTGTTGCTGTTGAAGCTGCTGTTGGCGCTGTTGCTCAACCTGAAGCCTTTCTTTAGTAAGCGTCAGACCGTAAGCCTAACATGTAGGCCCAAGCCTAAGCCTAAGCCTAACCTAAGCCTAAGCCTAAGCCTAAGCTGAGCCTAAACTAAAGCCTAAACTTAAGCCTCAGCTTAAGCCTAAGCCTAAGCCCAAGCCGGGCCTAAGCCTAACCTAAGCCTAAGTCTAAGCCTAACCTAAGCCTGAGCCTAAGCCTAAGCCTGAGCCTAAACTTAAGCCTAAGCTGAAGCCCAACCTTAGCCTAAGCTTAAACTAAAGCAAAACGAAAGCGTATTACTAAAGCACCTGCTGCTGGTAACGCGGATCCTGGCGCGGGTCTTGACGCGGGTCCGGGCGCGGCGGCTGAGCCTGAGCTTGCTGCTAAAAAGCCGATAAGCAAAAAGGATGGAGTAGCAGCTTGGCAAGCTTCAAAAGCTTAAGTATGTGGCAAAAATCCTACTATATATAAAAAAATAGTGGTGTGTGTGTGTGTGTGTGTGTGTGTGTGTGTGTGTGTGTGCCACTTTGCATCCACTTCCGTCTGTCTGTCCGAAGGATATCTTGATAGGGGATGAATTTTAAAGTATGTATGATACGTCATTAGGTGCGCAATGGTCTTGGGATGACTGCACACACCTATCAGATTTTACAAAATCAGCGATTTTCGACATTAAATTAAGGTTTTTGTGAAAACTTCTTTGTTAAAAACAATTAGTATAGACCGGAAGTGGGGACGCGACTATATAAAGCGGCAGAAGAAGTGGTTTTTCATATTTTGCCATCTGAATTCAGGACAAGTATGCAAAGTGAAGAATAAAATGGGGTCAGACGGGGCCAGGGTTGAAAAGTCGCGAAGCGGCTTTTCAACCCTGGTGGTGCTTAAAAAGCGAAGTACTTCCGAAGCCTAGAACTACCTCCTCAAAAAGCTCGTCGAAATTTTCCTCATCGTACTAAAGAATCGGGAATCCAGGTAATTTAGATATCTACCTGCTGGTAGCGCGGGTCCTGGCGCGGGTCAGCGGGCGGCTGAGGGGCGAACTGGAACAAAAAAAAAAGGGTTTGAAGGCGTAAAGACGAAAACCTACAGGCTGCTGGAACTGCCTTGGGTCGTAGCGCTGCGGGGGCTGCCGAGCCGGGCAACCGCGACGTTCGATGCGGCGTCCGTATTCGCAGGATTGCGAGCGGACGGCATGGCCGAGGCCTAAATCGGCATTTTTATTCATCATATTCATCCATTAAAAATTCTTCAAGATCAAGAAACATAGCGGTAGACAGTTTGGCGATTTACCACATAGATCTTTTCACCCACCAGTCTCGCACTCGCTCCAGTCGGTCCAGTCTCCGGCTGTCTTCATGTCCTTCTCGTCACCGTTTTCTAAAAGATAGCTTTTTAGGTTCTTTAGTAATTTAACGCACGCCTCTTCTTGCGGTCGACCTTGTCGGTGCTGCTCGCGATGCCATCCTCGGCCAGCGGGGGATGGGCATCAAACTGGTGGCAGTCAGCGACGAGTTCAAGCATGCGGACAAGGTCCTTCTTGTTCTCCGGCTTTTGCTCGACGAGGGAGACCTGAAATTGGAGTTTTTCTATGATTTTCGGTAGTAGTCAGCAAGTTCAGTTTATTGCGAGATATCTAGTAATTATCGGCACCTTTCATGCTCTCTCTCTCTCTCTCTCTCTCTCTCTCTCTCTCTCTCTCTCTCTCTCTCTATTGATCATTTTGTCAACTGGAACGACTAGACTCGCTCAATGTCGCTCAAGCTTGATGTTTCGTGTAAGGCGATTCCGTCTCCGGTGTCAAGAAGGGGAAAGAACGTCCAAAAGCCCGTACCTTATCGTGCACGGAGTTCTTCTCGAAGAGGTAGCAATAGTGGTGCTTCGTGTCGTTGTGCAGGTAGTAGTAGACCACTGAAAATATACGTTCGGGTGACGATTGGTGCCGACAGAGTTTGACAATTTCGCTAGTTGGCCAATAAGTGCGTTTCCACACCCATCCCCACTATATTTCTCGCCGAATCTCCTCCCGTATCCAATAAATTAAGCCGAACGAGGTGTGGGAGACAAATGGGACCCGGTGGGCCCTCCCTGGTGGAAGATTTGCTGCTGAAAAATGGGCCCAAGTGGCCCGCGAGCCGATCGCTAATCTGTCATGATCACCCGGCCAGAGAAATGGCCAGGAGTGGCTTTTGGCAAAAGTCTTTTGCTACGGAAAGAATGTGCAGGGTTGGCCGGGGCCCTTGGAACTGACCAACCGGGGTTAGGTAACCAAAAAGCAGGGGGGGGGGGGAGGGGATGACTGGTCGGTTTGAGGAAGTGATTAAAGGGGCCGAGAAGTGCTGGAACCGACGTCTGGTTCCGACTAGGTATCGACAGCTAAGAAAGACTACAAAATACAGTTGAGCGACGGTGCAAAAATGAGCTGTCGATACCTAGCGTTCCTAGGGGTTGACTTCCCAACGTTTCTATGCAGTAACTTCGAATTCATTCCCTGCCCTGACTAGGTGCCGTTAGCTACAAGAGAATGAAAAATACACTGTACAGTGTTCCACAGCTTTCCTGCCGACAGCTAATGATCACATGAAGGGACTATACAACTCCAAATTCGACCCCCTCCCCTGCCTAGGTGTCGACAGCAGCCTGATATGCCGAAATGGCTTGAAAATTGTTTAGTTTTCTGCATTCTGAAGCTATATCTTTAGAACCAAATATATTTGCGCAAATCAAATTGTTGTCGACACCCAGTAGAAGGAAGGGGTCCTATCTCCAACTTCTCAAGTCCGCTAAGGCGATTAGGAGCGCCGAAAAAAATCATAGGGTCTTTTTATAAGCCTCTACCGATGGATCTTTCTCTATTTTCTCGCTTACTAGGCCCCTTAAATGGATTGATACAACATCGGAAAGTCGCCAAATCATGCTATGAACCGTTAACTACCAAATCCCCTAAAACGAAATAAACACCCCCTCATTAATGCGTCACAAGCACCTACCAGCCGAGCAAGCCGGCCACATGTCGACGCACTTCTTCTGGCAAGCGTAAGCCGTGTCCTTCATCATTTCACTCGGGTCAAGACCCTAAAAAATATTTTTGTTTTCGCTGAAGTTCTTGTTGTACATTTTTTTCATAAATTTTATCAGATTTTTTTCGCTCACCTCCAGGGCGGTGTTGTTGTGCATACGTGCGCATAGCCCCTCGATCTTGGAGGTGGTGTTCTTGCCCCGGGATACCGAAAATTTGGCTGAAACAACGGGCATGTTGATAGGTTTGTTGTGTTTTTCGATTTCACTATCGCTCTCTCTCTCTCACTCTCTCTGGCTCTCTCTCTGGCTCTCTCTTTCTGTCTTCCTCTCGCTCTCGCTCATTCACCCTGGGGTGCCGAAAGCCGCGACCTTTGTCTGTGAACTCATAAATTGATTGCACGCTGCCACGCCCGTGCTTGCTGACCCGAGAGTTTTCATTGCCAAATTTTCCATTATTTCGGGCTCTGCCAAATTTTTATTATAAATTATAACTTAATGTTGGTTAGAAACAAGGAATAAAAGGGAATGACGCAAAAACTCACCGGCCTCGGCGGCCGCCACCAGGAGCAGCAGACACGCGACTAGTTCGCGCATCCTCCAAGAAGGGGGGCTCGTCGCCCTGGAAGGAATTTTTCTGAGGAGTACGAAGTAGAGCGAGAGGGCGAAAAAAGGCGTTCTACTGAGAAAACTCAGAGAAGTCGTCAATAAAAAAAATAGGCGATCGAAGTTGTAGCTCATCTTTTGGGATTCAGAAGGAAAATCGACCTGAGGACGAGGTCAAAAAGAGCAAGAGGAGAAGCTTTAAAAACGTCATAGCGAAAGTTAGCAATCGAAGACGTTTGAAAGTTGATGCTCGCAAATCAGAAAACGCCAAAATTCGGTGCTCAGAGCAGTCAATTAAGCCTCAGCCTAAGCTTAAACCTAAGCCCCAGCTTAACCTAAGCCTAAGCTAAACTTAAGCCCAATACAACCCCAAATCTAAACCTAAGCCCAATCCTAATCCCAAGCCCAAGCCTAAGCCCAAACCCAAACACTATCAGTTATTTCGATGGTTGTGCTATCGTGGCGAGCGAGGTGAGTTGATGGCGAAGAGATAGGTGCCAATGAGTGGAGCTCCCCCCGGTGGTGCTCCTCAGCCAACTTTTCTCAGCCTGTCACTCCCGGTCTCCTCCTCGAGGCGGGCTCCTCCCTCCCTTTTCCTGCTTTTCGGGCTATGTGTTGCCAAAAGCCTTCTTCGTCGGTATGGGGGTGCTGTAATCCATGAGAGTCCTGGGCCCAAGAAACGACACTTGTGCCGCAGGGAAATCTGCATGAGCATGAGCTCGATGGGGAGGATGTGGAGTGGTGAGTCATGTGAGCATGATGAAACTGTTGTCAAGTTTCTTTAAGTTGAGTAAAGGTAGTTCCCAAAAACGCACCCAACACGAAATCAAAGATGCCATATCATAAAGTTGGAAATATGCTTCAAATGATACTTGATATGGTATTATCCTCAATACCGATACCTACCTACTTACACCCCAGGATGGTCTTAAATATTGGTCTGAACGCTTTAGTTTTGGCCTTCCAAGCAGCATGAAAGTGAGGATACCTTAAGAAAAATTAATCTACAAAATAAGACATTTTAAGGTCCAATAAATAGGATACTTTTTCGATTCCGATACCTTCCTAATTCCACGCGTGATACGACTAGCAAAAGAGCTCAAAATTTGTCATTTCCCTCCCCCGGGACCCCTGGTCTCTCAGCGATCCGCCTGCTCGCTCCGGCCATTCCCTCAAAAGGCCTCCCCACGCCCCAGATCCCCATGACTCCTTGGCGCAATGGTAGCGCGTTCGACTCCAGATCGAAAGGTTGGGTGTTCGAGTCACTCAGGGGTCAAAATTTTTTGGTTTTTGAAATGAAGGTGCCGGATGGATAGGGAATCATGGGCTGAATATTTTTACGTGGGTCTACCTTTTTAATTTTCGTCGGGGTTGTTTTTAGAACATTTTAAGGTTTTTGTTTCACTAAGTTAACATAGCTTTTACCCGATTAAACGTTGTTTAATAATAATTAATAATAAAAAATAGGAAAACGACATTTTTTCAGGCAATAATACATCGTAATTGATAACCTAACCGTATCAGGGTTTATCTTAACACCCAAAATGGATTCTTTTTTCCCAGGTTCAAACAGTTCCTCATCGTTCATCGAGCGGTTAGTTGCACTGTTCGAGCCCTCATAACCGCTCCTCTCGGCACAGTTGGTCGCAGCCAGGGGGGCCCAAAATTTTTTCTAGACAGCCCGCTGACATGGGCTAAACCCACGAAAAGTCTGCCGTTTAGCTTCGCATTTTCCCAGCGGTGGTCGGGCCCCGGCTCTGGCTCCTCGTCAATCATCGGTGATAAGCCCAAAGGGGAAAGATAGAGGCAACAGTCGAGACTCGTGCCTCGAAACGAGTGACTTGAGGCTTTTCGGCTGAACTGAAGGTCCGAGTTGTCGGGGGAGAAGTTTGGTCCAATCCTGGGATCGGGGCCAAGGTGGGTATTAGTCATATGGGTCCCGTCGCTTCTGGGAAATCTGGCAGAGGCTAAATTGGGCCCTATCGCTCATTTTCAGGCTCTGGGGGTCATGGGGGCAGACGGGTGACCTCGGCGGGATCGGAAATCCGAGCTGACAAAGAATGAGTCAGCGAGGTCCGGGATGGTAGTTCCTAAAGGCACGTGTAAGTCTTAGACCAAGGAGGCTTGAACTGGAATTTTTGAAAATTATGAATTCGGCAGGTCATCGATCAAATGCCGACACTCGTGGCGCTAACGCTCAAAATGCCGATATTCCAACTCTCGATGCGATTATGCCTACGAAAAGATTACTGCGTACGCTGTATTTTGTTGCCCAGCGAGCTTAAAACAGCTTGATCCACAAAAGCTTAGCTTAAAAAAGCTTTAAAAAGTTTGAATCACTGATCAGTGTGAACAGTATGAACAATTTCAGATTCGTTTAAGTCTTTTTGATTGTCAGAATCATTGGTGTGGATCCTAAGCTTCGATTGTCCGTATTTTCAATGCATTACATCCAAGCTCCTTCCACGCGCCCATTTTTCCTCGCCATTACGATGCAAATCGTGGCTCGCGAAAGGCAAATCACGAGGTCGCTTCCGGCCACTTGTTGCCCATCTGTTTATGCCGGCGGCGGCGAAAAGCGACACGAAAATGCCAGCGAGGTGTAGAAAAGTTCGCAGGCGTGCCCTAGGGTGGCCCAGACAGCACGCGAGTCCCCCGTCGGGAGTGTGCGTAATATTACAAAAGACGCGTGTGCATGGACTGATATGTGGAAATAGGGGGGAGGGCATCGCTAGAGCGGACTATTTGGGTAGAACATAGCTTAATTGAAAAAAATCAGATCCTGGCTTAGGCTTGGACTTAGGCTTAGGCTTAGGCTTCGGCATTGGCAGGCTTGACATCCAAAAATCGAGATAGATTTATTAGATCCAAAAGAGAGGAAAAAGGCACTATTCTTTCGACGCTTCCGGGCCACTAAACTTTTTCACGACGGCCCGGATCAGGTCGATTGGGATTGGGAGGATGACGGTGTGATTGTCGATGGCAGAAATCTAAAAAGTATATTGAATTTTCTTTTGGGGAGCATGCAGGCTAGCAGAGAATCTTTGAAAATCCTACCTTCGTTAACGAATGAAGAACACGAAGTTGTACAGCACCCTCGACCTCGCTCAACTCGTCGGCAGCGGCTTTTAGGGCCATTGACGCCTGCAAAAACAGACCTAGGATTAGGTTTAAGCTTACGCTTGGCTTATGCTTAGGCTTGGGCTTGGGCCTATGATTAGGTTTAGGCTTAGGTTTAGATTTGGGCTTGGGCTCACTATTGCTATTAACTTACGTTCAATTCCCCCTTGCGCGCATACATATTTGGCATCACTTTCGCGGACGGCTTCTGCTTCGGCGGCCATCGAGCGGCAGAGTTCCATCGGGAGACGAATGTCCTTGATCTCCACGCGCTCAACGGTAATGCCCCAGAGATGGGTGGCTGAAACTTTGAATTAGAGGAGCTCGAAAATGCCTTGATCGACGATTTTTGTTGGCTAGACTTTGGAAATGCGTAAAAAACAAATTCTATGATAGGTCACCAGCCCCTAGACAGAGTCGGAAAAATCAGCTGATTGTAAGCCACTCTGAGGTGTAAGGTAGCTGGCGAGGTCTAGCTGACCGAAGGGGTAGAACCTAGAACTCCCCAGCCCCTTTAAGATGGAAACCAAAATTTCTTTGCTACCCTACCTACCTTATGTTTGTAACTTTAGGCTAAAACGTACTCTGAGTAACTTACCGGCATCCAAAATAAACTTGGCTTGCGTTGCGACACCCTCTCGGTCTGACATCATTTCAGAAAGTGTTCTTGTTCCTAGCAAGTTGCGTAGTGTAGTCTGCACTTCAGGTTTTTACAGAAAATTTTTGAAATCTATACCTGTGCCAACTGCCTAGTGGAGTAGTGAGCATCGGTGATGGCGGAAATACTGGCGACTGGGTCGCTAAAAGAGCATTTTCAAAACTTGGGCTAAGGCTCATGGTTAGGCTTAGGCTTTGGCTTAGGCTGAAGCTTAGACTTAGGCTTATGCCAAGGCTTGGGCTTAGCTTGGGTTTGGGCTTAATCTTAGGCTTAGGCTTACCTCGTCCTATAATACACTGCAGCATCTACAGATACCGTAACCGAGTCTCGGGTGAGCATCTCCTGGGAAGGCACATCATACGACATTGTTCTTAACCTATACCTTGAGGTTGTTTTGAGAAAACCCTTACCGAAGATCGACTGTTTTATAATCGTCTATACATGGCAGTAAAATCACCACTCCTGGCCCCATCGGCTTGTGATTTGGTACTCGCCCGAGGCGGTAGACGACCTAAACGCCTTTCTATGTAGTTATAATTGAAATGTTTGTTATGCTATTTATTAAACGTTGTCGATTATTTTAGAGGCATTAAAGCGTCAGAAAATATAAATCTGAAGCTTACCATCCTCTTGTACTCCGTGACGATCTTGATGCAGAAAAAGAGCGAAAATGGGAACGTGACGGCCACCAGGGCCCAGCAGAGGTAGATAGTGATAAGACTGGCCCAGTCTGAAAAATTGTATTACATTTGTACCTATTTTTTAAGCTAAAAATGATTTCCCAAATGTTCTGTGCTAGTTCGCCAAGTTCCTAGAACAGAACGATTTGACTTTTGCTTCGATATTTTTGGTCAAAACTGGATCAAAATACTTTCCGAAATGTTCTCTGCTAGCTCTTCAAGACGTTCAATTACGACAGTAAATTATTTAAATGATTTACGTAATAGAGTTTTATCTATTTTTCAAAAATCGGGGCATTTTTTTGGTGTGCATCTGATTCTCAAACTAGTGCCTCAAGTTCTGCAAAGAATCTTTGCTAGCTTTTCCATAGGCTTCGATACGGTAAGGCACTAAGTTATTATAATTAACAAATTATGCCCAAAATTCATATAAAAAATAACGAAATTCTGATCACAAACCCTGTTTCACGCTCCTCCCATCGTTCAGCTTACTGGTCAGCGTTAGCGGGGAGAAGCTCACTTTCCTGGAGAGTTTTTGCATCTTCCTAAAACCCTAGAAGTTCGAGATAACGAAGATATTATTACCGTGATGCCATCCTGAAATCGGAACACTACCCAATATAGCTATACCCACCTGCAAATGGGGGTTGCTGAGGGCGGAAGGGGAAATTCCGGGCTGCCCGCCGCTTTCATCAACTTCCCACGACGGCTGAAGGTCGACTTAGGAGGGTGCTCCGGATTTTTGGCCGTCTCTGCTGGGTGTCACCAGCTGTTGAGGGAAATTCAGGGAAGTAGAGTTTTCGCTGAATTGAAACAAATCGAAAACTGTAAAAAATGACCTGGAAATCTTTGCATTAAAAAGATTATAAAATCAGAAATCTGGCTAAAAGCTTCAAAGGAAACTTTTATCTCTCTCTCTCTCTCTGACTCCCTCTGTCTCTCCCTCTCTCCCTCTCTCTCCCTGACTCTCCTCTCGTCTCTCGCTCCTCTTGCTCTCTTCTCTCAAAAATTGCATCTGTAACCATCCCGTTAATGATTATTCGTAAGCAACGATAAAAAATTTTTAAGACGGTAATAGGGAGAAAGAGAAACAGACAGAGAGAGAGAGAGAGAGAGAGCAAATAGCGAGAGATAGAGCGAGAAAGACAGAGAGAATGCTAACAAACTAATTTATACAAATTCCTTAAGGCGGGGGTGCCCCCCAAAAAATGAGCCATGCGTCTGGGCATAAAATAAACAACGTGAGGGCGTGAAGCTTTTTGAGCATCTTGTTGGAGGAAGAAAGCGATGTGGAGATTTTTTACGAATTATTGGAGACTGTGGAAAGAACAAAAAAAAGCCATATTTGTAAGATCTAAAAACAGAAAACCATCAGGTAACTACAAACTCCGACTCCCCGGCGTTCCTTTGCAGTAGACACCTCGAGTCAGGCGCTAAAAGTTCGCGGCCATTAGGCCTCATAATTCATCAGCAATCCATTGACGCCCCCAGGAGGCTTGAGCTCATGAGGGGAAGGGGAGGCTCGGGGAACGGAGATTGGACCTGGAGATTTCTGCTGAGCAGTTGCCCCGCAGAGTTTTTGTGGGTTTATCATGGTTTCCTGAATTAATTTGATTGATCGCATTAGCTCTCTTTCTCCCGCTCTCTCTCTCTCTCTCGCTCTCTCTCTCGCTCTCTCTTTCTCGCTCTCTCTCTCTCTCTCTCTCGCTCTCTCTCTCGCTCTCGCTCTCCCCCTAACTTTTTCTCTTTTCATAGTATGTTACCATCCATTTAAAATGATCCGGGCCAGGCCAAAACGGAAGAGAGAGTGAGCGTGATCCTGAGAGAGAGAGAGCAGGAGAGAGCCCGAGGAAGAGAGATATCGTATCCAAAAACCTCAAAATCCTAGTTCAAGCGAAAAGCCTTGTACTGACCAGTGGCCAGCGCCAGGCTGAGAACCAAACCGACATGTCGGGTTGAGCCCCATTAGTGTCAACTGAACCCGGCAGAGACGTTGTGTCATCGGGCATCCCCGAATGGGCATCGGGACGAACAAGCTGACACAGCCGGCATAATCGCTCCTTGTTGCTCATGCTTGGAGTTCCTAGTGTTGACACGGGTTGCTTGGGACGCTGTTTGTGAAATGTAAGGTGCAGCAGCCGTTTTCTGGGCTTCGGTTTAGGCTTTGGCCTAGGCTTGGCTTGAGGCTTAGGCGTAGGCTTGGCTTAGGCTTAGGTATTGCTTAGGCTTTGGCTTAGGCTTAGGCTTAGGCTTAGGCTTAGGCTTAGGCTTAGGCTTAGGCTTAGGCTTAGGCTTAGGCTTAGGCTTAGGCTTGGCTTAGGCTTAGGCTTGGCTTAGGCTTAGGCGTAGGCTTAGGCTTAGGTCGTGCTTAATGTGTCAGTTTCCATGTCGTTTAACGAAGTCATAAATTCTTTATCACAGAAATGCAACGACAAGAAAACTGAAAAACGTACTTTTTGTATGCATAGATTTGGTGCGAGTACCGGTAAGCTGGGATACCACAGTTTCGGGAGGGTACAATATCATAGGGGCGACCAAGGCAATAGAGTTTTCAGAAACGCCTAGAGAGATCGAAAACGTGGCAATAGGCATATTATTGGCTATAGAATTTAAGATATTCCGAGCAACATGAAGTTTTGGCGGAGAACACCCGAAGCGAGAGAGAAACCGAAAGAAGGAAGAATACCGTGATTTTAATTAAGAGCTTTAAATCTAGAAAAATGCGGAGAAAATTAGGGTAAGTTATATTAAGATCATTTTTCCCCAGTTTTGAAGTTTGATACGTCGTTTTTGGATCCAAGCGGCCATTTCCGGGTCGGCTGGGTCGCATTTTCCTTTCCATCTGAAAAATGACAGGTTAATTTTGCTTTTTTAACAAAATTCATTGACTTAGAAATGTTTTGATGTATGTCTTAGCACAATTAAGGTATACATAGGCTTTAAAACCCACTTTGTAACGCAGTATTGCCGAGCAAATTCCAGATATCGACCCTGGTGCTCCCAGTCGGGGTTGTAGACCTGAGTATGAGTCTGAAAATCGTGGATTTGTATTTATTTCTCTCGCTCTGTCTCTCTCTCTGTCTCTCTCTCTCTCACTCTCTCCCTAACGATCTCTCTTTTTGAGTTACCTGATTTCCAAATTGATCCAATTGTATCAAATCCGAGTGGAAGTAGACCCGAGCGCCATTCACTAGGAAAGTTACGATCCCCTGGTAGGCTGTTCTGGGCATTCCGGACTAAATTTTGGATATTCGCTAACGCAAATAACTTACTCTTAGGTCATACATCACCGAATACTTCATCGCAACGTCGGTATAGTGACGCGCGTTTGAGAAAGTGGATCTGTAGGCGTTTTGAGGGTCTAGTTTCCCAGCGATGAGCTCTTCTCGGGAGATTGGCTTTGCCTGAAATCGTAGGGCAAATTATACAACGCGGAGGTAGACATTAAAATTGTCGTAAAATTTTCAGAATAACTACAATAGGCAAAATACATGTATTATTAAAAATCTTAATAGATAGATGAAATGTCTTACTCCAACAAACAAGTAAGAGCACTCCTAATAGCTAGAAAGAGGAAGTATTTATTAAATGAAGTAGGTAATAAGATTATCCAACTGTTAATGGAGTCAAAGGAAAAACTATCTAACGTATCACCACTTAATGATATTGTTAACAGCAAAGGGCACGTAGGGGCCCTTTACCTCTTCCAAGTTCCGCTTCATCCACAAGTCGTAGTTTTCCTTCTTGAGGTAGTTTAGGTCTAGGTTGAGGAAGTTGATAGGTTCCACCGGAAGTGTGATGGCTTCGAGATATTTTTTGTAGAGCCCCCTGAAAAAGCCGCTATTTGATGATATCCCAATAAAGAACTAGAAGCTACTATATGTTAATTTTGAGCGATTTGGATCGATCCAAAAAGCCGAGTAAGACCTTAGCTTTACTTACTTGCTGCTTCCCTTCCCGGCCACCTGCATATTATGGCTAGTCCGGCTGACTTCCGGCCGTATGCAAGCCCTTTCCTTCTTGACGTCCGGCCTTCGCATCCAGTCATCCCAAAATATGTCCGGAAATCCCGGTGACAACTCCCGCCACGTTTCCCTTGACAGCATCCAGCCTGAATTTTGATGTAGGAAATCCGTCGCTTTTCTCTCTACCGCTCTCTCTCTCTCGTAGGAAAATTCTTGATTTTTACCTAGTCCAGGGAAGAAATCGGTCCTCCATAGCAACCCTGGCCTTTTCCTGTCAATCAACTGGCTGCCACCGTTATCATTCCACGCTGATATGCACCTAAAAATTTCAGATTTTGAGGCAAACTGTTGCTCTCTCTCTATCTCCCCTCTCACTCTCTCACCATCCCTTTTTTTCTTTCTCTCTCGCTCCCCTCAACTTACCATAAGGATTTATCCGCCATCAGCAACTTCTTGGTGGCGGCAAAATATAGGAAGAAGTCAGGCGCAATGTCGAGATCCTCTAAATCATAAAAATTTAAAGATTAGGTACGCTTTCTCTCTCTCCCTCTTTCTCCCTCTTGTAGATCTACAGGATCCACCCACCTTCCGTAATAATCACATGCGAGTACCCGTGCTCGAAAAACACCGTATCAAGCGCCCATTTGTAGTGCTCGGCAATTTTCTGGTAGTTGTTTTTGCCCTTTGGTGTGTGCTGAAGCCTTTATTGTAATTTTTGATGGTATTTCCTTACCGTTTGATTAAAAATATATCGCTCCTCGCTGGCGACTTCTTTAATGGCATTCCTGACTAGCACTGCCGACCCGTCTTGGCTGATGATGATTGGGAAGTTTTTGGGGTTGGGGCGGTACCTGGATTACGGAGGTTTTAAGCTTAGGCTTAGCCTTGGGCTTGGGATTCGGCCTAGGCTTAGGCTTAGGCTTAGGCTTAGGCATAGGGCTAGGCTTAGGGCCCGGTTTAGGCTTGGGCTTGGGCTTAGGTTTAGGCTTAGCTTAAGCTTAGGCCTGGGCTTAGGCTTAGACTTACTTTATGAGTTGCCCGAGATGATTTTTGACTGCTTGATGACGATTGGCGCAGATTACCAGCACTGCGGCCACGAATTCGTCTTTCAGTTCTTCCTAAAAATTTCTCATAAAACTATAAAAGGTTTTTTATGACCTTGACGCTTCCGTTTTTGCTTACCGGATTGGCCGCATAATCCGGTATCCTGGGCTCCGGCTGGACGGCCAGGCCATACTGCCGGAAGTTTTCCTGAAAGTGGAGTTAGTGGTGAGCGTTTTAGAAGTTAAAAACTGTGTATTTAAAGGCCTAATCGTTGGGCTTTTTGCTTACCTCTATCTTAGAATCATGCCCAGTTTTGAGGTAGACGACGGCCAGCAAGCAGAATACCGTAAAAAGGGTGGTGGTGCGTATCCGGTAGATGCTAAGTAACCGGCGCCATTTGGCCATAGGTTCTACCTGGAATGAAACGAAGTTTGTTGCTCATTAAAAGCAGCTGAAAGAGAAGGGAAAAGTCAAAAAGCTGGCATAAAAATTGGCGAGAAATTGGAAAAAAGGAGCAAATTGAAAAAGAGGAAGAAGGCTTCGAATGAAACAGAGAATTTTTTCGAAACTATGTGAACTTCTAGTTGATTTGAAAATTTAAAGCATAAACAAGTATTAAGAACTTATAAAAATATGGAAAAATAGTATATTAAGTATAAAACCTGTCCTTGGTTATGCGAAAACCCTCAAAACACACGCAAAAATAGGCTGTCGTTTTTTGGGTTGCGCGCCCTAATCTTGTCGGCGCGCACCCGAATTGTACTTGTTTAATTTGGTGGAAGCGGAACCGCAAAAATACATCATTTCAGAGCTATTCTCGCATTTGCAGGTTTTTGGAATTTTTTCAAATCCGTAGAGTGCTCAAAGATTCCAAAATTCTACTCTGCGGCTCCCTTGCAAACCCAAAAAAAGAGTCAAGCGTCAAAAAGGGAAAAAAATTACGTGGTTTATCGATTTTTATTGCAAAACCCTCAAAAAAACCACAAAAAGAAAATGACTACCCCTTGCAAGAGCAGACGAAACAATGGGCGGGCGCAGCCATAAAATGGCGAGGATCGACATGTGGACAGCTAAAACGAGCGCCGGTGAATAACAAAATAGCTTTTGGGGCTTTTTAGGAGGACAGACTACGACTGATGACAATAGACGTAGAAGGGGGGTGTCTGGTCTTCTGATTCTAAAAGAGAAAAGCTATTTAAAGGGATGAGGACGGCATCTGTTGAACCCCCCTTGGGGAGGGGGGTTCAACGGGACCATGACAGTTGAGCAACGACGTTTGAGCAACTTTTGAAAAGAGTGCGGAGAGAGGCGAGAGTCCAGACAGTCTGCCCGTCTGGGCTCTCTGCTCCCTCCGCACTCTTTTCAAAAGTTGCTCAAACGTCGTTGCTCAACTGTCATGGTCCCGGTTCAACAGATGCAGCGGCGAGAGAGGGCGCGAGGGGAGAGGCGCAGAGACATTTTCTTTCCCGCGCGTAATCGATTGACTTATGCCGCCCCTATCCCTTTAAAAAAAGGCTAATGTTGCAAGAAAATTTCCAGAGGCATAAAAACTCTTATTCAGAAATTTTCCATCTGAAATACAATTTTTCGTAAAGTTCGGCTTGGAAAGGAGCTTACATTGCGATGTTTTTTGTGTCGTCAGTGGCTCAAGTTGGGCCTAGCCTACCGTGCGCAGGATTTGGCGCTGACTTCGGATATTTGTACTAAATCGTGATTTTATTTGGTTTTTTCGGAAGTTTTGAACGAAGTAAAACAGAGAAGCACCCAAAATAAGCCACCGTCTTGGTTTCCCCCCCACTTAAATGGCACACAGTTTCCGAAAAATCGCGTTTCCGCAAATCTGGCAGCAATATTTGCAATCAGCGCCAAATTCTGCAAAAAAGGTTTAATCTCAATTTTGGATCGCGACGTAGTTGAAAAAGAACCAAAAAGCCGAGCCAAAAAAAAAGCTTTTAACAGACGGAAGCGGTAGTTACAGATCGTGAAAGAGCCGGAGAGAGACAGCTAGATCGAGAGAAACTGAAAAAATGTGTAAGTGCTGCTTAAAATTCCAGAGCATCCCATCCAACATCCCCCTACTGTATCAAAGCCATTTCCGGAAAGGAAATTCTAGCGTGGCAATTGTAAAAACGTTCTCAGGAAAGTCGTAGCAAAGTTTCTATAAATTCCACACTTTAAAGGGAAAGTGATAGGAAGAAAATTTGAACCTTAAATTAAATAGCAAGAATCGTTCTAACAAGTCTCTGGAAAAATTCCAAAAAAATGCAAAAAATTACAACAAATCAAACAAACAAAATATTGCGAAGCCAATCGTCCCACCTACTACTAGCCAGCGAGCTATGCAAGACAGAGTAGCCAAAAAAACGAAAGGAAAACCCAGCCGTCAGAAAAATGGAACCCCCGGGTAAGAGCAGGGATTGATTTCCACCCCCTCCCAAAAAACCGGTCGCTCTAGGAAATGTACCTGGAAACAGAGTACCGCCCAGAAATTTGCTTTTCTGCGTATAGGACCGATTCTCTGAGAGTGCATAGTATCGTGGGGAAAGCCTTGAGGAATATTTGGGCGTCTGTGGTGGCCAGCGGGTTGTGGCTAAAAATGTATGCATGAATGGCTTTTGGGGGGAAACGACGCGACACGGAATCCCGATGAGCTCTGGTCAGCTCGGGGGTATGGGATTGGAGCGGTTAGAAGGGAATTAAGATTCTATAGACTTTTTCAGGAGATAGATAGAGAGAGAGCGAGAGACAGAAAGACAAAGTGAGAGAGCGAGAGAGAGCAATAGTGAAATCGTGAAAAAAGATAGCGAAAGAGATTCACAGTTTTCGTGAAATTCCGGCGCGACGCTTCTTTTAAAAGGCTTCACAAGCTATCACGGAAAAAGCCTCGGCTTCGGCATAATTGTAAAAGTTCATTTTTTCGCTAGTTTTTGGTCATCTAAATCTTACAAGAAAATTGCGTGACCCACATATTGTGTGACAAAAATTACAGGAAAACCAAATTACGCTAAAAAATGCAGTTAATTCACATTTCTGAAGGGCTTGGGCCTTCTCAGTCCCTTTAAAGGGCGTGTGGCATCCAGATTTAGCGAAAAGAGGAATCTTCGCCTGCAAACTTTTTCAGGGGTCTGGTATGTAAATTTCACAAAAAAGCTGAATTCCGAAAACTACCTTATCTCTTTCTCTACCTCTATCTTTATCTCTCAATCTCCCTATTTTACTCGAAGCCTCTCATTCTCTCTCTCGCCCCTTCTCTTTCTCGTTATCTCTATCTCTCCCACACTTTCTCGCTCGCTCTCCCTCTCTCTGCGGGATCTGCATTCAGTTATTATTAATCCTAAGCGCTTCGTATTACTCACCCAGCGCTATAACAAACCCAACTATTCAAGAAACCAGGTGGTCAATGGGCGCCGAGCGGCGCTATGATTCCGGCAAACCAGATTCCCATTCACATCATCTAGTATGCGGCCCGAGGGGGTGCCCCCAAAAAACAAGGCATAATTGGCCGGGCGAGACTCATTTTTGTACGGTAGAGGTAACAGAACGCGAAAATTAAGAAGCACACTATGAAAAAGCACGTGAAACTACAAAAAAATCTATGAATTCAACGTGTTCAAAAGGATATTTTAATCGACGTTTCTGTGAGCAAATTTGGTAAAAACTCGTCGACTGGACCGTCAAGTATCAAAATCCATTGAAACTCCAACAGCGGGAAACGACCGCACTTTTTATTTTTGGTCTTGCTGAATGGCCAGACGGATTTCTGGGTCGAGAGGTGGATGCGAGGGAAGGATAAAAAAGGCAGAAAAAATATAGAGAAAAAAGTCAGGCTCTCGCAGGTGTGAAGAGATCAAAACCGGTTTCAATAATTTTAAAATAATCGCAAAAATTTAGAAAAGACGTTGTAAGAACTAGAAAAAAGCAAAGCGACACGAAAACCTCATTTTTCGAAGTTACCTTGATTGTTCAAACCGCTCTTATTTTGTTTACCGTTCAAAGATTAAATTTAAGCAAACTGTGTAAAATTAAACTACAGACCTGGAAATTAGGCAATATACAAAGTGAATACAATAAGACGCTCCGAAACCACAAAGATTTGAATCCGACGAATCCGATCCGGTTCAAAAAATCTAAAGAAGGCTTCTGAGTTCGAAGTTCCTTGAAAACGCGATGCAACGCAAAATTTTTTCAAGAATTCTGACTTCAATGTTCTTTTAAATCTGCCCTAAAATATGAAAAGTTTAAAAAAGCTTCGAAAAATCACATTTAAAAAAACCCGAATCTGCCCTTTTCCAGCATATCTATCACATCGAGGCCTAAAGATCTCCCAAACACTTCCGACTTCGCAGCTCCTTTAAAGCGCAATCAAGCCGTAATCCATTGTCCTGGGCCCCAAATAAAGGCTAAGGCCAGGGATGAGAGGGTCCAGGGCCAGGAGAGGGGATATTGGGAAGGATGGGAAAAGCCGAGCCCCTTCACCCCGCTCCTCCCAGCAGAGAGGGGCCACAGCCGCCAATTTCAGATTGGCCCTAGGGGAGGAGGAGAGGAAGAGAGTGAGTGAGAGACACATAGGGTGCAGAGAAAGAGAGGGACGAGAGCAAAAGCCACAACTGACATGGATATACCACAAGGCGTCTCCCTTGCCTGTGGGTCTGTTGGGGGCCTAAAGAGTTTGGGGGCACTAAACAGTGGTGATAAACAATAAACTATGTATGATGGTGAAAGAGAGAGAGAGAGATATATAGCGAGAGCGAGAGAGACATAGACAGAGAGAGACATTGGTGGATAAAATGACGGTGGGGCATTCATTACTCATAATATTTAAAAAAACTACCAGGGTTGAAAAACCGCTTCGCGGCTTTTCAGCCCTGGACCCGTTTAGGACATCTGAAAATTTGACTTTACATAGGGCTTGCCGAATGCCGATCACCAAAAAAATGAAAAGCGCACCCTCCTCCTTTTTATAGGCTCGGCCCTTCCGGTCATGCTAATTGCCTCCTAACAAAGAGGTTTTCGATATTTTACAAACTTAATTTTAATAGCGAAAACAGCCTATTTTCTTAAATTTTATATGTGTGCACCCATCTCGGGACCATTACGCACCTAATGACGTATCATACGTACCTTAAAAACCTTCCCCTGAGGCTGTAGGTGCGGTACATACTTACGGAAGTTGCATGCAAATATACACACACACAGACACTATTTTTTTATATATAGTAGGATGGAACTTCGCGGGTGCAATTCGATAGAGCGCCAACAATCTACTAAAAGCTTGGATTCGAAAAAGCCGAACAATTATCAAGGTTTTCAATATTTTTCTACCCTGGGATGGAAAATTTTTGAAAAGATTTTGGCTCTCGGCAAACGCCAAAAAAGCGACTAAAAATTTTTTTAGTTTGAAAAAT